ACCAGCACATCTGAAAGGAATGCAGGAAATGCTAAGTCCGGAAATGACCTGAGATAGTAGCTTCTAAGGCACCCAAGAGTTGTTAGGGCAGCAGCTTCTCTTTAAAACACCTAAACCAGGCAGCATTGCCTGAGGCAGGCCCCAAGTAAGATCTTATTCCAGTCTCCTGACACTTTCTTCCAGTTTCCTGAATTTATTCCTTCCCTTTCCTCCAGGGTTCTATCAGTGTCCTCCACTCCTGCGATCCCAACCTGCTAGCTGCTCAGTCCTAATTTACCTGTCCTTGTACAGCTCTGCCATTTCACTGTCAAACTGCCCCAGAGAACATGCCAACATGTGCCTTAGAAACCATAGTTAACTGCCTTAATTTCCATTTCAGAGACTCTGTACACTCTGACCCCATTCTACCTTTTCAATACTATCTTATCTACATACCCACTCCCCTGACATACTGACAAGACAGTCACCAAGGAGGATATCAGACTTAGTACAGAAAAGAGGGAAATGTAAAAGCCAACTATAAGGAAAGGAATTTGGCACTGGGTGAGGGAACTCTCAGGAATGAGGGTAATGAGCTTAAAAGTGTGGTTACACAGGTATGTTCATTTGTCAAAAATCATCAAATGGCTTACTTTCCAAATGAGCATTTTGCACTATGTTAAGTTTTATCTGAAAAAAAAAAAAAGGAAAAAAAAAAGAAAAAAGAAAAAAATGTCAGTAGGTGATAATCTCATTAAAGCCTGACCTTGCAGTGCATTCAATAAGTTATTACAGCAAAAGAAAGACCATGAAAAAGCCTTGAAAATGAATGCTCAACTCAAGCTGATGAAATACAAATTGAATCTGACTATGGTGGGCACACCTATAATCCCAGCACTCCTGAGTGGGTAGAAGGATCATCTCAAGTACAGGGCCAGCCAGGGATACATAGCCAGATCCTGTCTCAAAATCCAAAACCAACTAACCACCAACAAAATGTCAACTGAGAACTCTTAAATGAGGGCATATAGGGCTCACTATAAATTCCTTTAATTCTTGTTCACCAAATTTCATAAAACACAGAGGAAAAAATATTTAGTTTGAATTTGAATAGACTGGGAATATAGAAAGAAATGGGAGAGGGAGGTTGTGGGCCCAAAAGATGGACTCTTCTGGGGACACAAGGATCTGAGGTACCCAAGGGATCCAGAAGAAATACTAGGAACAGGGCTGTGCTACTTAAACACACCTCTGCATCCACGACTTCTACAAACCTCTATCCTCTTCACTGAGCTTCCTCTGATCACCTCACCCCTCCACACTCAGCCTGTGATTGTTTATAACATTATTGTCTATCTCTATCATTATGATTATATATAATAGAATCACACAGAGAATATCAACCTGGATTTCATGAAACAATTTGCAAATGAACAAAAGAAAACTTGCCATATCCAGATCTGTGCTCACAAAGACTCTTAGATCCAAGGAGTGGCTTTACACACACACACACACACACACACACACACACACACACACACACACACACTCCACAAAAATAAAAGCATACTGTAGAGACCGGAAGGCCCGCCCACCCTAAGTCTGGACACACCTCACCTCTGTCCACAGTCCGCCCTCTGTCCTGCGGCAGGTGCCTGAGCCTCAGAACCCTCATCCAGTGGCTGATGGAAGCAGATGCAGACACCCACAGATATACACTAAACTGAACTCTGGATCTTAGTTGCAGAGAGGGAGGAATGAAGATCAAAGGGGTCGGTACCAGGCTGGTGAAACCAACAGAAACAGCTGGCCAGAACAAGGGGGAGCACATCGACCCCAGACTGCTGTCTGGGAGGCCAGCATGGGACTGATCCAGACCCCTGAACATGGATGTCAAT